ATGATGATGATGATGATGATGATGATGGTCTCTCCTTCGCTCCAGGGCCGCGCCTGCAGCACGGGCAGCACGTGATCGCAGGCAGCGTCGATCGCCCCGCCTTGGACGGCGCGCGCGGGCTCTGCGGCTCCTGCCGGAGGACGCCAGCTCCACCCAGCCCGTGGGATAGGGGGAACGGTGAGGCAGGTTGAGGGAGGGTCCTCCTCTTCCAACTCCTCCTCCTCCTCCTCCTCCTCCTCCTCCCCCTCCTCCTCCCCCTCCTCCTCCTGCCTCCTCCTCCCCTCCTCTACCCCCCCCGCTCCTCCTCCTCCTCCTCCTCCTCCTCCTCCTCCTCCTCCAACTCCTCCTCATCATCATCACCCTCCAAGGTTGTCGGCCGAATTCCGCTCTCTCTCATTCGCCCTCCCTCGGTTCCGCTGCCGAAGTCGGGAGTTGTTGGTCCTCTTGCTTGCAGGGAGCATCGGTGCTGGGTTTCCCCTGGCCATGCCGTTCTCTGTATCAAGTGCGGGTTTTTCACGTGCAGTGCTGTGGCCAGTCACTTGTTGCTTGAATGCGAGCTCCCTCAGGTGATGTCAGAACGTGCTGTCAGGAATCGTAAATTGTTTCTCGAAGGCCGCCATCCCGCCGATGAAGGGCGGGCAGATGGTAGGCGCATCCCCATCCCTCGCCCTCTTGCTGCCACCGATCCCGAGGTGACGTGGCTTCGTCTTGGAGCGGGGTGGTGATTCAAACTCGTTTAGTCCGGGGCTCACTTTTTTTCTCGTCCTGGTCAATTCGTTTTCGTTTTCCCGACGACGGCGGCGGTCGGGGGGTGTGGGGCGCCCGCGCGACGCGCGCGCGCGCCCCGCAAATCGTCCTCTGCAAGTTCCAGGACCCCGCCGCCGCCGCTGCCGCCGTCGGCTTCTCGTTCCTCGTCGTCTCGCCGCGATCCCTCGGGTGGGCGGGCGGCGCTTTTCAGGAATGATCGAGGGGGCCCCTGTGGCCGCCTCCCTTCTCTGTGGCCGTTAGCGCAGGCGCGACGGTTTCCTATGAGCGTCGTCTCCTCCTCCTCCTCCTCCTCCTCCTCCTCCTCCCCTCCTCCTCCTCCTCCTCCTCCTCTCCTCCTCCTCCTCTCCTCCTCCTCCTCCTCCTCCTCCTCCTCCCCCTCCTCCTCCTCCTCCTCCTCCTCCTCCTCGCTCCTCCTCCTGCACCGACCCCGGCCAGGCCCACTCTCGGGCCGGGCGCGGCGTGCGGTGCGCGCTCCCCGCCTCGGCGACGACGGCACGGGCGCCACAACGGCTGGGTCCGGGGCTGGCCCGGTCCGCAGGACCAGCGCCGAGCGGAGGGCGAGGACGACGGGGACGCCCCGTGCCCATAAAAAATACCCCCAAAAATAGTCAAAAAAATAGTCCCCAGAGCATGTTTGGGCTATGCTTGGATTATTTTAGGGGTATTTTTTTTTTTCGTCGAAAATCCCCCTGTAGGCGGACAGGCCCGACTTAGTGCAAGACGCGCGCGCAGTTTTGCGCGCAGGTTTCTGCTGCGTTCAGAATATCGAAGACAGAAACTCAGAGGAGGGAAAGGTACCCACCCATACCTCTACCCTTCGCCTCCTGGGGGCCCCTCGTCGCCAACGCTGGATTCGCCTCGAAATTCTAGTCAGAACGCACCCCAGGAGAGGTCCCGGGAGTAGTGGTATCGGTACCTTTCGGTTTCCCCCCCATGACGCCGAGGACGAGCGGAGGATGAGGACGACGAGCGGAGGATGAGGACGACCAGAGGGCGACGGGGACGCCCCCAGTGCCGACCGGAGGACGAGGACGACGGGGACGGGAGGCGCAGCCCATGCCTTGGAAGCTGGGCGAGGGCCGGCAGATCCGTGGCTGCCACAACTCTGTTTTCCCGGAAGAGAAAACCAGATTCCCAGAATCAAGCTCAGCGCACCACGTGAGAGACGGGCTGCTTCCTGGAGGAAAAAAAAACAGCTTCCTGGAGCTCCGTTGTAGCAGCCACGGGTTTGCCGGCCGTCGCCCGGCTTCTGAATGACGCCCCCTGCAAGGGCACGAAGCCCGAGCAGGGGGTCCAGTCCAGCCCAGGGGCTCCCCCTCGATCAGCGACCGACGGGCCACCGACGGGAATGAGAACGGAGGAGCGAGGATAGAGGCCTCCTAGATGGGGGTCGGAGTGGATGGGGTCGAGGATCGCGCCGCATCGCCGATACATCGGCGATGCATCGTCGATGCATCGCTGATGCATCGGCGACGTCGGCGATGCATCGGCGACGCCCGCGTGGAGAAACACGGGCTCCACATCGAGCCACATCGCGGATGCATCGGCGATGCGGCGCGATCCTCCCACCCCATCGACTCGTACCCCCTCGAGAGGGCCTGGAGACGAGGAAAGGCCTGCAGAGAAAAGGCCCTCACAAACTCTCGGAGCTCCGCGCGGGTCTCTTTGGATCGGCCCCGGGGACCCCCCTCCCTGGCGCGCGCAGCGCGCCCACCTGGACGTCCGGCCGCTCCCACTGTTCGATGCGTGGGCCCCGGAGGTCTGTGCGGGCAGTACTTATATCCATATCCAGAGCGTCGTGGACTTTTTGGGGAAGAGGTGCCGCAACGCCGAGGCGCACCGGATATGGATAAAAGCAAGCCTCTTGGGGCAAGATTTTTATCCATATCCAGTGCGTCTACGGTTTCTGGGGAAGAGAGCCCAAGAATCCAAGACGCACTGGATGTGGATAGAACTCTTGCCCGCAGTCTGGGCCACTTCCCCAGGGCTGCGTTTCGTCCGGAATCATTTTTGGACGGTCACGAGGCTCAGCGAGGGCCCCCAAAGACTTAAAAAATGACCGAAAACCTGCCGCTCCAATTTTTGCTGGAGCGTCGGCTCTCTCTCTGAAAGGCGGCGCCGAAGTCGCCGCCAGGGAGGGGGGTGCGGCGCCAATCTGAGAAATCCGCGCGGAGCTCCGGAAAAGATCACGTGTGCTGATTGTGCCGTTTTCTCGTCTTCGATTTCTGGCCTCCCGTCGGTCCTGGGCCCCGACCCGGCCTATCACGGTGCTCCGGGCGTAGCGGTCGATGACGCCCGGCGGGTGGACGAGGTCGAAGTCCTCCGACGCGTCCTCTGGGATACCATCGGTACGACTATGTGCAGGTCCAGGTCCCTCCCCTTGTCATCACCCCTCCTCCTCCTCCTCCTCCTCCTCCTCCTCCTCCTCCTCCTCACCTTCCTCCTCCTCCCTCGCTCCTCCTGCCTCCTCCTCCTCCTCCTCCTCCTCCTCCTCCTATCGCTTTAAAAGATTATCGTGGCGAAGGGCCCAACCATACGCAGTTATGAGTATCGCCGTTGTGGGTATCGCCTTCTGTGGATCTCTTTATAAGGCCACGAAGCGTGCAAAGGGTGTGCCGAAATGGGGCGGGGACGCATGCGGGCGCAGCACTAGGGGCCTCCGGTGGCGCTCCATATGGGGCCACGAAACGTATGAGTGGTGTGCCGAAATGGAGCGGGGCCGCCATGCAAACGTCGCCACTGGGGCCTTCGGTGGAGATCCCTCTGGGCCCACGAAAGGTTGTTCTGAGCGGGGGAGACGCACGCGAACACCGCCACTGGGGCCTTCGGTGGAGCTCCCTCTGGGCCCACGAAAGGTTGTTCTGAGCGGGGGAGACGCACGCGAACACCGCCACTGGGGCCTTCGGTGGAGCTCCCTCTGGCCCCACGAGGCGCTGTTCTGAGCGGGGGAGACGCACGCGAGCACTGCTACTGGGGCCTTCGGTGGAGCTCCCTCTGGGCCCACGAGGCGCTGTTTTGAGCGGGGGGGACGCACGCGAACACCGCCACTGGGGCCTTCGGTGGAGCTCCCTGTGGGGCCCACGAGTCGCTGTACTTACCGGGGGGAGGAGGAGACGCACGCGAACACCGCCACTGGGGCCTTCGGTGGAGCTCCCTGTGGGGCCACGAGGCGCTGCACTCGGCAGGGACGAGGCAAGGCGAGACCAAGGCAGGGCGAGGCGAAGCGAGGCGAGGGAAGCCAGGAGGGTCTCGGCACGGGAGGGGGCGGGGCGAGACCCGGGCAGGGCGAGGCAGGGGGCCGGCAGGGCGAGGCCCGGGCAGGACGAGGCCCGGGCAGGGCGACGGCAGGGCGAGGGCCAGGCGCAGGGAACGAGGGGCGCAGGCGAGGGCCAGCCGAGGGCAGGCAGGACAACTCCTCCTCCTCCTCCTCCTCCTCCTCCTCCTCCTCCTCCTCCTCCCCTCCCCTCCTCCTCCTACTCCTCCTCTCCTCCTCCTCCTCCTCCTCCTCCTCCTCCTGGCTGCAGGGGGAAGGAGGGAAATGGCCATCTTCGGGACCTGGCTAAGGAATGCAGATGTGTTCGAGGAGAGAAGCCCACCAAGATGGGGGCTTGGGTCCTCCAGCGTTTGTCTGATGGGAGGCCACTCAATTGAAGTCCTCCCCAGTATAGCGTGCTGACAGAGTCAGATTGGGGTAATCATTGGGTAATCCTCCTCCTCCTCCTCCTCCTCCTCCTCCTCCTCCTCCTCCTCCTCCTCCTCCTCCTCCTCCTCCTCCTCCTCCTCCTCCTCCTCCTCCTCCTCCCGTTTCGTCGGCGACGTCGGCGTGGAGAAGGTCGGAGTTGGGACCGAGCTCCACCGGCGACGCACCGCGCTCCTGGCCCGCAGGCCCGCCCCGGGCCCAGGCTCGGTGTGCAGATGCCCTCCTGGGCTGGGGGAAGGAAGGCCCGTGCACCGGGCCTGGGCCCGGCATGCGTGCAGGAGTATAGCTGGCAGCTGGGCGAGGGCCGGCAAATCCGTGGCTGCTAACGCAGTCGTCCCGGAAGAAGCAAGAAGAAAAAACGGAATCGAGCTCAAGCGCACCAGATAGCATAACGGGCTGCTTCCCGGAGGAGAAAAGGATGTCCCGGAGCTCCGTTTTGGCAGCCACGGGTTTGCCAGCCTTCGCCCGGCCTCTGAGTGTAGCTGGTGCCCCCCGACTCCCGACTGCCTACCAGACCACCCCAACCCAACCCGAAGACCCGAATTTCGGGTTGGGGGGGGTAAGGGTTCCACGCGTGTTTTCTCGAGGTTCCCCGACCCCCCCCAACTGGAAATGGAGGGCAAATTGAGGCCTTCGGGTTGGGTTGGGGTGGTTTGGTGGGCGGTGAACTCCAGCTTCTCCCCGGTCCTTGCCCGCGTAGGCCATGAGCGGCAGCGCGCCGCCCGGGTGCTCCTCGAGGAACCCGGTGACGTCGAGCACCCGCCCGTGCACGATCAGCCAGCAGTCAGTCCTGAAGAGGGAGATCTGGGAGAGAGAGAGAGAGAGGGGCCCCCAGACAGAGAGAGAGAGGGAGAGAGAGAGAGAGAGTGAGAGAGAGAGGGGCCCCCAGACAGAGAGAGAGAGAGAGGCAGAAGCGTCAAGACGAAGCCAGGGCCGGGACGGAGTCGAGCGGGGACGAGCCGGGGATCCCTGAGAGCCCGCGGTGCTGGAGGCCGCATCGGGCGCCGCAGCCGCTCCGGAGCGCGCGGGAGCGCTCGGAGAGCGCCCCTGCTCGATGTGTTGCTGCGGCCCTGCGCCTGCCCGAAGAGCCCCTCCTCCGTGCCGCCTCTCCGAGCGAGCGGGGCCCTCGGCCGCCTGGAGAACTGGGGGTCGGCCTCCTGGGGGTCGGAGCCGGCGAGGCGCCAACCTCCTCCTCCTCCTCCTCCTCCTCCTCCTCCTCTCTTCCTCCTCCGCCTCCTCCCCTCCTCCTCCTACCTCCGCCTCCTCCTCCTCCTCCTCCCTCCTCCTCCTCCTCCTCCTCCTCCTCCTCCTCCTCCTCCTTTCCTCCGCGCTCCTCCTCCTCCTCCTCCTCCTCCCTCCTCCTCTCCTCTCCTCCCCTCCTCCTCCTCCTCCTCCTCCTCCTCCTCTCCTCCTCCTCCTCTCCTGCCCTCCTCCTCCTCCTCGCTCATCCTCCTCCTCCTCCTCACTTCCCTCCTCCTCCTCCTCCTCCGTCCTCCCCTCACTCCTCCTCCTCCGCCTCCTCCTCCTCCCTCCCTCCTCCTCCTCCTCCTCCTCCTTCCTCCTCCTCCTCCTCCTCCTCCTCCTCCTCCTCCTCCTCCCCTCCTCCTCCTCCTCCTCCTGCCTCCTCCTCCCTCCTCCCCTCCTCCTCTCTCCTCCCTCCTCCTCCTCCTCCTCCTCCTCCTCCCTCCTCCCCTCCTCCTCCTCCTCCTCCTCCTCCTCCTCTCCTCCTCCTCCTCCTCCTCCTCCGCCTCCTCCTCTCCTCCTCCGCCTCCTCCTCCTCTCCGTCCTCCTCCTCCTCCCCTCCTCCTTCCTCCTCTCCTCCTCCTCCTCCTCTCCTCCTCCTCCTCCGCCTCCTCCTCCTCCTCCTCCTCCTCCTCTCCTCCTCCTACCTCCTCCTCCTCCTCCTCCTCCTCCTCCTCCTCCTCCTCCTCCTCCCCTCCGTCCTCCTCCTCCTCCGTCCTCCTCCTCCTCCTCCTCCTTCCTCGCTCCTCCTCCTCCTCCCCTCCTCCTACTCCCTCCTCCTCTCCTCCTCCTCCTCCTCCCTCCTCCTCCTTCCTCTCCTCCTCCTCCTCCTCCTCCTCCTCCCCTCCTCCTCCTCCTCCCCCTCCCCCTTCCCCTCCCCCTATGCCTCCTCCTCCTCCTCCTCCTCCTCTCCTCCCTCCTCCGCCTCCTCCTCCTCCTCTCCTCCTCCCCTCTCCTCCTCCTCCTCCTCCTCCTCCTCCTCCTCCTCCTCCTCCTCTCGCCACGGCCGAGTTCCTCAGAAACAGACTATTGATTCGCGGGTCGAGAGTGCACCTCTCCCGGTCGAAGCTGAGCGGGCCGCGCGAAGCTTGAATTGACAGAGGGGGGGACAGAAGGAGCGCGGCTCAGAAACAGACTGGCCCCGGCGGAGAAGGCCCACAAGAAGGCACCACCTCACACTGAGGGCGAAACAGAGGCGCAGAGACAGACGCGGGGCACCGAAGGAGGAGCACCCGAGGAAGTGAGCCTGCCTGCTCCTCCTGACCCCCACAGGGCTGGCCCCACCTAGTTAGCATTAAGTCGGACGTGTCCCCCTACAGGGGGATTTTCGACGAAAAATAAAAAATACCCCAACAAGTACCCCAAAAAAGGCAAACATACCCAAAACATAGTCCCCAAACTATTTCAGGAGTATCTTGTTGATCTGTTTGTTATTGACAGATGTAAAACCATTTTCTCGAACTTTGAACGGTCGCTAGAGCTCTAATAGTTGGTTCCCCATATTCGATCTTATTCCAGCTCGCCATGTTAATATCAGGTCGATCGGATGCATACTACTGTTAAAAAGCATTCAGGCGGGATCGGCTGTTCAGTGTCATGTTGGCAGGCACCGTCGGTTTTCTTAACTTAACTCGACCTGCAGATACGCTGCAGAGCTGTTCGGCACAGCAATCGAAAGAGAATCATCACGCGCGCTAGTCTCAAGTGTCTAGATGCCTAAACTCGGTATGCTACCAGAGCTGGGTCCGAAAAACTATTCGTACTCTGTCATTTTTCAGAGATGATGATCGCCTTCTTGAGTTTACTCGAGCTGCAGATGCACTACAGAGCTGCTCGGCACAGCAATCGGAAGAAAATCCCGCCTCCTCCTCTTCTTCTTATTCGTAGTATTATTAATCATATTCTTATTGGTAGTACGATTGAAAGTATGATTGTTCTTCGTGTTATTATTGGTATGAGTATTGTTATTCTTATTGCTATCATTGTTAATATGAGCATTATTCTTGATGTTATGATTACTACTAGTATTAGCATTATGATTATTACTATGATTCTTACTATTTCCTTATTACGATTATTTTTATAATTCCCCAATCAGAGCTTGCCTCTGTAGGGGTCCTAGCGGGTTCATATGGTTAGGTTAGGTTTGTCGCCGATTTTCGCTGCACGCCCGGGTGCCCGGGTGCCCAGGGGTGCCCGGGGCACGGGTGCCCAGGGGGTGCCTGGGGGTGCCCGGGTGCCCGGGTGCCCGGGCGTGCCCAGGGGTGCCCGGGGGTGCCCGGGGGTGCCCGGCGGTGCCCTATAGCCCCATAGCCCTAAGCCCTATAGCCATATAGCCCTATAGCCCAATAGCCCACTAGCTCTATAGCCCTACAACTCTATAGCCCTAAAGCTCTATAGCCCTATAGCCCTATAGCCCCCTAGCCCTATAGCCCTGATTGGGTTTGTTCTCGGGTATCATTATCATCATTATTCTTGTTAACGGTAGTATCATGAGTATTGTCATTATTCGTACTATTCGTATTAGTATTCTTATTATTACTACTATGACTAGTAATATTAGACGTATCACTCGTACTACTATTAGTACTGCTGTTCTTAGTTGTCTACGTATTATTGTTCGTAGTGCTATTATTATGATTATGTGTCGTCTTCTTCTTCTTCTCCCTCCTCCTCCTCCTCCTCCTCCTCCTTCGCCTCCTCATGTCTGGGAAGGGGCCCTCGGATGCCGAAGCCTGCGACGAGCACCGCCCCGCGGGGGGTCCTGTGGCAGTGCCGGGCCACCTCCTCCAGCGTGAAGACGGCGTCGGCGGCAGGGGGCCCGGCGGCGGCCTCACCCCCAGGGAGAGAGGAAGGAGGAGGAGGAGGAGGAGGAGGAGGAGGAGGAGGAGGAGGAGGAGGAGGAGTAGGAGAGAGGAGAGGAGGAGGAGGAAGGAGGTTTGAGGAGGAGAAGAGAAGAGGAGGGAGAAGAAGGAAGGAGGAGAGGGAGGGAGGGAGGGAGGGAGGGAACGGGAAGAGGGAGGAGAAGGATGCAGATGCTGCATCACGCCACTTCGGACGGAACCCTCGTGGCACGAGCAAGGAGAAGAGCAGGAGGGAGGAGGGGAGGTAGGAGGAGTAGGAGGAGGACTAAAGGGGAAAACAAAATCGGGGAGACGTAAGACCCGGGTACGGGGACTCGGAAATCCCCGACGAGGTCGTCAAAAAAATGACGAGGCCGAGCCTGCATTTTGACGAGGCCTCCCGCTGCAGACATCCCACGAAACTCCTCCTCGTCAAAATCCGAGGCGCGGTCGTCAAAAACGATGGCGAACCCGAGTCCTGGCAAACCCGGGTCTTACGCTCCCCCGAGAGGATGAGGCGGGAGGGAGGGAGGAAGGGTGGGGAGAGCAGGAGGGAAGAGGAGAGGAAGGAGGAGGACCCCCCCTCCGCGGCCGGCGCAGGCGTGGCGCCCACGGCCGCGCCGGGCGCGGCCGCGCCGGGCGCGACCGCGGCCGCCGGCGGGCTCCCGCGGGGCAGGCGGCGGGCGCAAGCCTGTCCCGCCAGCCTGCGGGTCCTGTTGGGGTGGGCCCTCCTCCCTCCCTCCCTCTCCCGCCTTTCTCCCTCGTCCCTACCTCCGTCCTCCTGTCCTCCCTTCTCCTCCCTGTCCTCCCTCCTCCGTCCTCCCTCACCTCCCTCGGTCCTCCACTACCTCTGTGTCCCCCTCTCATACCCCTCCTCCCTCCTCCCTCATCCCTCCTCCCTCCCGCTCTCCCCACCCTGCCTCCTATCCATTCTCTTGCTCCGCCTTCTCCCTCCCCTTCCTCCTCCTCCAGTAAACTCCTGCTCCTCCTCATCTTCCTCCCTCCCTTCTCCTCCTCCTCCTCCTCCTCCTACTCCTGCTCCTACTCCTCTTCCTCCTCCTCCCCCTCTTATTAGTATGCTTAGTATCATGGTTAGCACTCGTATCATTCATAGTAGGACTGCTATAGCATTGATAGTCGCAATCTTGGTGCTCTTGATATACATATCAATAATAATAGTATGTGTTCATTCTTCGTTAGTATCCGTATTGATAGTATCATCAATGGTAGTATCATTCGTAATCGACTCAGCAGTATTCGTAGCACTCTTATTCTTAGTACATTGATGAGTCGTGGTTTTAGTGTTGGCATTATTAATAGTATTACGATTCGTGGTGTGATTGTTCGCCGTAGTTTAGTCTTCGTGCTAGTAAGGTGACTCTTCCTCTTAGCCGTATTCATACTTTTATTCGTCACATTAGTATGATGCTTCAGGTTCGTAGTATGACTGGTGTTGTTCATAGTCTTAAAAATCGTCTTACTATAGTTAGGATTAGTCGTATTCGTGTTGGTGTTAATGTTAGATGGACTAGTGATAGTCGTATGTGCATTACCAATACGATTGAGAATAGTATTAGTATTCGTACGCATCTGAGTATTCCTATCATTGGTATTAGAAGTGTGAGTCTTAGTGTGTGTGTGTCTTATTCCTCCTCCCCTTCTCATTATTATTATTTGGTTTCTTATTCGTATGACGATGCTTAGTACTATTCGTATTCTTCTTAGTAGTAGTAGTAGTAGTCGTAGCATTGTTATTCTTAGTAGTATTATGATTATTCGTCTTCCTCTTCCTCCTCCTCCACCTCCTCATCCTTCCGTAACCATGTTGGCTCATGCCTTTCCTCAGGCCCCCCGCTCCTGCACTTTCCTCCGCGTGCCCTGCGACCCCAACCCGTCGTCTTCTCGGGGCAACGCAGCGGGCGTGAGGGAGGGGGGAGCGGGGCTTTGGGCTCACGGGCATGATGGCACGTGCGGGTTTGCTGGATGGCGAACCTGGAAGCTGGCAGCAGCGTCGATCGCGGGCCGAGCGCACGGCCGCGCGGCGGCGGGCGCTGGAGGCTGCCGACAACGGCCTGGCGGCGGCCAGGGCCGAGCGCGATGCGGCGCTGGGCGAGCTGCGCGCGGTGCGGGTGTGCTTCGAGGCCGTCGTCGGAGACTCGGATATCGCAGACGGTATCGCCGCCCTCGCGCCTGCCCTGAGCGCCCTGCTGCGTGGGGAGGCGCCTTCGGCCGCAGATGTGCTTCGGCGCAACGTGGCGCTTCACGCGGACGCCCCCGAGGGGGTGTCAATCGCCAGGGCTCCTTGCAAGTACCTGCGCCGCTTGAAGAGCGAGCGCCTGGAGGCCCTCCAACTCGCGAAGACCAATTGCTTAGATGACGTGGCGGACGCGAGCCGGCCAGGCTCCGGCATCATGTGCACCGTGGAGGTCTGTGTGGCGCAGCCGCGCACGAGCAGACCTGCGGCAAGGGCTGGACCGTGTGGTTCAAGGATCGTCGGCCCGACCGCACAGGTCTTGTGCAAACCACACATTGAACCGCTATCCGTGATAGGGTTCTTTCTTGCGCCCACCACAGACCATGGAGGTAAAGTGCCCTCCTCCGCCCCTCCTCCTCTCTCCTCCTCCTCCTCCTCCTCCTCCTTCCTCCCCTCCTCCTCTTCCTCCTCCTCCTCCTCCTCCTCCTCTCCTCGTCCTCCTCCTCCTGCTCCTCGTCCCTGGTCCTTCCTTCCCTTTCCCTCCTCCTCCCTCCTCCTCCTCCTCCTCCTCCTCCTCCTCCTCCTCCGCCTCCGTTCTCTTTCTCCTGCGAGGTCATCGGCGAGATGTTTGTGGTCTTCTCGTGAGGTGGCCGCGACCAGCAGCGGGGCATTGCGTCCCCTTCACCCTTGTCCCTTGTCCCTTGTCCTCCTCCTCCTCCTTCTCCTCCTCCTCCTCCTCCTCCTCCTCCTCCTCCTCCTCCTCTTCCTCCTCGTCCTCCTCCTCCCCCTCCTCCTCCTCGTCCTCCTCTTCCTCCGCCGCCACCGCCGCCGCCGCCGCGGCCGCCGCTGCCGCCTCCGCCTCCGCCTCCGCCTCCGCCTCCTCCTCCTCCTCCATCCTTTTCTTCATAGAAAGTTCCTCCCTGTCGCACCCCCAGACGTGGTGGGGCGGGCCAAGCGTCGTTTCACCAGAGACCTCCTCACCGCTTGTGTTCCTCAAGCTGCAAGCGTTAACTACACAAATGGAGGGGAAGGGGAAAACAGAGTCAGTGGAGCGGGCATGCTGGGGGGTGGGCGGGGGAGCGGGCGAGCGAGGTGGAAGGGAAGGGGGGAGTAGGGCTGCGCAGAGGAGAAGGCGGGCGGGGTGGGGGACAGAGGTGGGGACGCAAGGGGAAGGTAGTAAACGGCCCCGCCCGGGGTTGGACGGAGGAGCGCGTGAACGAGGTGGAAAGGGATAGACACAGTCAGTGGTTGCCTGGGGGTGGGCCGGCAGGGGCAGGAGAGGTTGGGCCAGCCAGGTTGGGCTGCCTCTTTAGGCCCCGCCGCGGCCACCCTACTGCCATGAAGCCACAGCGGCAGTGCAGTGTGGTCCACCAGCGGGGCTAGTGCGACGGCGGCCAAGGAGCCAACATCGCACCCAAGGAGGAGGAGGAGGAGGAGGAGGAGGAGGAGGAGGAGGAGGAGCAGCAGCAGGAAGAGGACGAGGACGAGGACGAGGAGGAGGAGGAAGAGGACGAGGACGAGGACGAGCAGGAGGAGGACGAGGAGGAGGACGAGGACGAGGAGGAGGAGGAGGAAGAGGACGAGGACGAGCAGGAGGAGGAGGAGGAGGAGGACGAGGACGAGGAGGACGAGGAGGAGCGGCGTGCCCGCGCCCCCGGGGGGCGGCCTGCCGAACACGACGCAGTCCAGGAGCGAGTTGCCGCCGAGGCGGTTGCTGCCGTGGACGCCGCCGGCGGCCTCGCCGGCGACCTGAGGGCCTGAGGCCTTCAAGAGGCGCCAACACCACCACATTTTTTTTTGTTTGGTCTGCGGGTCGGGAGCGGGCCCCTTCCGGTCAAGAGCTGAACGGGGCGCGAGTGGCCCTTATTGGGGAGACGGGGCGCGCCAACACCGCCACACAGGTCGGAGGAGGAAGAGGTGCCCATGCCTCTACCCTCCCCTCGTGTTCCCCTTGTTCGGCCTCCTGGGCGGCCCTCGTCGCCACCGCTGCATTCGCCTCGACATCCTGGTCAGAAGCGGTCATCGGTACCTCTTGGTTTCCCCAACAGGGGGGTACAACCACCAGGGCAAGATAATCCTAGATGCTTGTGCAAGTGGCGCTCCTTCAGCCACCCGGAAGTCACCGAGGTCGGCATCGTCTCCCCTCGGTGGAGGCACACAGCCGATACCGGTGTTGGTGCCAACCTCCAGGCTTCCAAGGGGAAGCAACTCCTGGGAGGTCTTCGCAAAAAACGATTAAGGACTATCAAGCCCGACTGAGGTGCTACTGAGCCGAAACACGCCATGAGTATGCCGGAATAGGAAGGTCTTCGACCGAGGCTATGCCAGAGCCGATGCTGACTTTAACCTCCTGGCAATTGCACCCGAAGCGACCCACAGCCCGGCGATGGGCTGGCCGTCCGCGCCAAGCGCGGCCCCGCCCGCGTCCGTCTCCTGGGGGGGAACGATCGGGCGGTCGGAGGTCGAAGTTCGATGTTCCTGAAGGTTTTCAAACGTTTCCGTCGGTCCTGGGCAGCTTTTGACTACCTACCAAACCACCCCAACCCAACCCGAAAATCCGAATTTCGGGTTGGGGGAGGTATGGGCTCCATACATGTTTTTTCGATGTTCCCGGACCCCCCCATACTGGAGATAGAGGGCAAATTGAGGCCTTCGGGTTGGGTTGGGGTGGCTTGGTGGGTGGTGAGCTTTCCAGCCTGGGGGTACCTCCCAGCGGCTGCGCCTCGCCAATGGCTTTCCGGGGCGCGCCCGTACCGGCCCGAGCGGCTGCTGGAGGCCCGAGTTATGTGCGAGGCGGGGATTTATTCATGTCCACCGCCTGGGCACCCACGTCCTGGTGCCCCAGCGGGCGGTGGATATGGATATATTTAGGCACCCAGGGGCCCGAATCTGTCCATATCCAACGCCTGCCGAGGTCCCCGAAAATTGATCCGCGTGCTACAATAGTTCTAGTTCGCGCGCGGGGCGGCCCCTGGGGTGCCAAAGACTACCCCCCCTCCCGCCCCAAGGGGCCCCAAAGAGCCCCCCAAGAGGCCCCAGGTGAGCCCAATACACCGCAAGGAGCCCCAAGACGCTCTCAAGAAGCCCCCAAGAAGCCCCCAAGACCGCCCCAAGAGGCCCCAAAAAACGCTCCAGGTCCGGCGGAATGAGCGAAGCGATTCAATAAATTCCCGCCTCGGATTATGGCAAGAGAGCCACCAGGAGACTGGCTCAGGGGGTGAAGCACCGAGCTGGGCTCGGCGATACACTGTGGACAGATCGGCGGCAGGCCTCCGATAGCGACTGCGCGCGGTCTGGGCAGGGTGGCTCGGGCCCCTCTCGGCGACGAGTGGGCGCCTGGGGCGCCGATGCGTCCCCCAGGAACCTTCCCCCCCCCCGCGTTGCCCCTGCTTTCGGGTCACACCTCGGCTCTCCTCTCCCGCGGCTGGTTGTGTGAATTCAGCAATCCAGCGTTCTAAATTCAAAACCTGGTTTTTGGAATTCAAACACCGCTCTCCTCTCCGGCGGCCCTCCGGGACGATCTGGGCACCCCCGGAGCGCGCTCTCGGCGGGGCGCGGCGACCCCGAGGCTGGGAAGTCGCGGCGAGACCCGCCGAAGAGCCGCCCGCAGACCTCGCACCTCGAGCCCGCGAGGGAGCTCGAGCCTCCATCCCCGGACGACGGCGCCCCCGATCTCCAGCCCGCCCATGCAGTAGTGCAGCACCGGCGTCACGACCGCCACGTAGAACGGCTCGTCGGCCACCTCGCTCGCGGCGGGCCGAGGGAGAGGCCGCCCGGGGGAGCGCGCGCGCGCGGGCCCCCCTCCCGCCACCACCACCGCCGGCACCACTCCCCAGGAGAGCCAGGCAGCACGACCTGACGCCAGCTCCGAGCGGGTGGGCTGCGTGAAGACGAAGCCTCAGACTGCTCACTGCAGTCAGCCTGCTTTGCTTCCCCGTCCTTGCGACCACGGAGCTTTTCTTGCGTCGGCGGCTAGGCAGGGGTCGTCTGCGCTGGGGGAAGAGGCTGACTGAACGGGCACCGTGGTAGCGAATGGACCACAGTGCAAGAGGAGGGGAGGCCGGACGAGCGGGCGGCCGCGGGGAGGGGGAAAAGGCGAGGGCCGCTCAGGGGGGGGCGGGTCCCCCTCCCAGAGCGGCACAACGACCACTGCACGATCCATTCCACGACACCCCGAGGGAGTCGAGGAACAGCAAGCTGCACAGACGTTTGATTCGCGGGTCGAGAGCGCACCTCTCCCGGTCGAAGCGAAGCGGGCCGCGCACAACTTGAATTAACAAAGAGGGGGGGGGGCAGAAGGAGGGGCCTCACGTCAAGGCCAGGAGGGGGCGAGCTGCACAGACACAAACTCTGGGAGATCCGCGCGAAAAGTCCTTGGGTCGGCGCCGGGTCGCCCTCCCTGGCGCGCGGGGCGCGCGCCAGCTGCGGCGCGGGAGGCGCCGCCAGGGGGACCCAGCGGCGCTTCCGGAAACCCGCACGCTCCACGACTCGCAAAGCAGCTGCTCGCAAACGGCCTAGGTCCGCCGCGGGAAATGTACCCATCGGTCAGAAGAAGTAGGTAGAAGCATGAAATAGGAAGGCGTTGAAAATAGATTGGGTTCCGTCCGCCCCCTTGGGAGGACGGACAAGGTGAAGCCACTCGATTATTGAAGTAGGAAGGCGCTCAAATTAGACTGGAATATGAATATGGGAATCCAGAAATACCTACTTTCAACGACCGATGAGTACGATCCCTTGCATCGAAGCAGATTCTGTATTCTCCCGCACGTCTGCGAGCAGGCAGACCTGTACGTTTCGTACGTTTGCGAACATTTAAGCACTCTGCGAGCACTGGAACGCGCTCCGGCGACCTATGCTTCGGGGATGGACAGACCCCCCTTTAGTAAAACGTGGTTTAGTGAAAACGACCTGAGGCCAAAATCTGGCGGGCGCAAGCCTGGAAAATAACGGCCACGGCGCCCTCTCGAGAACCGAAAACGGACAATTCACTAATCGACGTGTCACTGTTGGGGGTTCTGTCCACCCCCGAATGCTCCACGGCGACGCACACGCCCCGCACCCCCCCCGGGAGCCTGGCCCCCGCGCAGCGCGTGCCGGAAGAAGCGCTTGCCGGCGCCGCTCGGGCCGCTGGCCGCGTCCCAGGACCGCCCGCGGGGGTACCCCGGCCAGGGGCCCCCGTCGGGGTCCTGGGCGGCGCGGCGGGGCAGGGCGGGCAGGGAAGCGGGGAGGGACGAGGGCCAAGGGGGGCGGGGGGGACACACATGCTCGCACCGTGGAACACATACATCTGGACGGGCGGTTTTCTATACATGCATATATATATATATATATGTTTATACATATACATATATATATATACATATATATGTGTATATGCATATACATATACAGCTATATGTGTATATATGTATGCATACATACACATGCATATACACATACCTATATACCTATACATGTACAGATACACATGCATGTACATAAACGCATACCTATACCTAAACACATGCCTATACAGTTACAGGTACACATGCATACAACTACATGCATATACCTGTGCGTATATGATCATATGCGTGAATACACACATGCATGCATACATGATCACACAAACATGCATACATATATACATACATACATGTATACAAACATACATACATACATACATACATACATACATACATACATGCATGCATGCATGCATGCATGCATGCATGCATGCATGCATGCATGCATATATGCATGCATGCATACATACACACATGCGTACATGCGTAAGTACATACATACATACATACATACATACATACATACATACATACATACATACATACGTACATACATGCATGCATATATACATACATACATAGATACATACATACACACATGCATACATACATACATACATGCATGCATGCGTGCAGTCATACATACACTCATACATGCAATCATGCATACGTAAATACATACATGAGTGTATGCATACACACATACCTACTTGCACGCATGCATGCATGCATACATGCATGCGTGTATGCATACATACATACATACACATACATACATACCTACCTACATACATGCATATATTCGTACATGCATACATACATACATACAGACAGACAGACAGACACACGTACATACATATATAAATATATATATACATATATACACACACCTGCATACATACCGACATACATACATAATCGCACGCACACATGCATACATACCTATCAACATACATATATATATATATATACATACCTACATGCATACATACATGCATGCATACATACATACGCGCATGCATACATGCATACACACACATAAACACATGCATGCATGCATGCATGCATACATGCATACATACATAAAAAAACACATACATTCGGCCTCCGGGAACCAGGGGGGCTCGCCAGGCCTCGGGATCGGCAAAGAACGGCTCAGGATCTCTCTCCGCAACTTCGCTCGACTGCCCGCCTAGATGCGAAAGGCACAGTCGCAGCGCAGGGCCGCAACGGCCAGAGGCAGCGCCCAACGCGGGCCGCTGCAGCGACGAACACACACTGCAAGACTCGTCCAGACGAGAGGTCAAGGTCAATCGTTGCGAGCGGTGCAGCCAGAACAGCAAATCTCAGACGTTCCGCCACACTCACAGCTCATTCGTCGTCGGGGGGAGCAAAAATAACGACAAAAACACACACACACACACACGCATACACAAACAAACAAACAAACACCCAAACAAACAAACAACACACGGTCCCGGGAAAGGGGCCGAGACCTCTGGGGGTCGACTTCGGGAAAAATCGCGACGTCGGGGATGGGCGGGAGGTAGGAGGGGGAGAGGGGGAGGAGGAGGAGGAGGAGGAGGAGGAGGAGGAGGATAGGAGGCGGAGGAAGGACGAGGAGGAGGAGGAGGAGAATGAAGAGGAGGGGCTGAAGAAAGAAAAGATGAAGAGGAGGAGTAGGAGAGGAGGAGGAGGAGAAGAGACGCCTCGACGCTCGCTTCCGTGGTGGTGCCCCAGGGAGAGGACCCGAGAGGTGAATAGCAGAGAAGGAGGAGGAGAAGGATGAAAGGCGGAGGTGGACAAGGAGGGGAGGAGAATGAGGAGGAGTAGCACAAGGGGAGGAGGAAGGGGGAGCGGGATAAGGGGGGAAGGAGGAGGAAAGGAGGGAGCTTAGTAGGAGGAGGAGGAGGAGGAGAGGAGAGGGAGGAGGGAGGGAGGGAGGAGGGAGGGAGGGAGGAGGGAGGAGGAATGAGGAGGGAGGAGGGAGGAGGGTGGAGGATCTGGATTGCGCTCTGATTCGCCGAGGAGACGGTCAGCTTAGTGCGGCACTCACTAGCTGCTGCAACAGTGAGTACATGCAGCACGGGCGCCAAGGTTTGGTGAATCTCCCCGCCCCCGTCCTGACCTACCACCCCCCCCTTCATCGTCTGAAGGCGCTCAGGGCGCATCACAACGCCGCAGGAGGAGGGAGGAGGCAATAGGAGGCAGATCA